CGCGGACACCCGTGTCCCGGAGGTACTCCGCAAGCACGAAGAACTGCTGCTCCAGCGTCGGCGACAGGTGGATCACGTGCCGACGGAACCTGTTCAGCCGCGGCTCGAGCTGCAGCGGGTCGATGAAGGCCACACTCTCCACGCCCAGCATCGCCTCCGTCACAACCCCCGCAACCCCATGAACCCGCCGTGACTGCAGCTCCGACTGCAGGGCGTCACGGGCATCAGCAAGAGTGGAGGGAAGAGGGGCCACGTGGATCTGACTTTCATCCCACGAGGCCATCTGGGGTGAATATGCCAGAGCACCCCCAAGGAGCAACTCTGCAGAGGCAGCTTTTGCAACAGCGCTGTCATTCATTAGAAAGGCCGCCCCACTGAACACCGGCGGCGCTTCAATCTCTGAACCGTGACAACTTGACAAGCTGAACGTCGTGAGGCCCTTATCAACCACCTCCGCACGAAAGCCCTCCACGAACCGCTTCATGTACACCGCGGCACCGCCCTGGTTGCAGTGGCAGACAGCACCCCGTGCTTCAGCCTCGCCTTTACACTCGCCCCCGAAGTCGCCAATCACAAGGTCGTCGATTAAATACCGGCGTTGGTTGAAGAGAGACTCCATGAACGACTTGCGGTCCCTCACCCCTTTACAGTCCCTCAGCGCCTGCGCCAGCACCTCGCCGCCAATCCACCCATCAACCATCAGCTCCCCGTCACCGTCATTATTGAGGAAATGCTCCGTGTCCTTGTAGTCTCTCTGCCCGCTGTTCTTCAGGTAATCCCGCATCGCCACCTGAAAGCGCTGGATGGCGTCGTACGTTGCGTCCCTCGCCAGCGGGTTCGTCCCCGTCGTGATCACCTGCCCGGGCACAAACTTGACACCACCAGCCACGGCAGCGCGCCACGTGTTCCAAAACAAATGGCTGCAACAAAAAGGGAGCCAGCATGTACGCGCCGGCGGTGCGCCTGTCCGTCAGCATCCTCTTAATGAATCTGTTGCTGTCTGCCGTCGGCCAGCCAAACACAATCACCGCCTGCGGCCGAGTGGCGGCAAACCGCTCCCACGCATCGTCGAACTCGTTAGGGTCGGCCTCACCACTCGAAGCGGTTTTCACGGCGAAGACACCGCAGAAGTCGTAGCCCATCGCCGACAGCACATCATGTGCCTGCTCATATTCCTCTTCACCAAAAAGGACGCCCTGCAGGTACATGAAGCCCAGCCGAAGCACCCGCAGCTGCATCACGGCGTAGCGGAGAAGTGCCAGCAGCTCGGCCGCAGGGTCAGCGCGCACAAAGTACAAGTTGGGGTTCCACCCACGAACCAAACTCGACCCGGTTATTGGGGCAAAAGAGACGAGGTCATAGCGAGGCAAAACTGGAAGCACCTTCCTCACGGAAGTGTCACCGAACTGGCCCAGAATAGCGAGAATGTCCTTCTCCTTCTCCATCACGTCCTCCAGAACGGTGACGTAGTCGTCCAACGTCGTTTCCCTTTCGACAATTTCAACGCGAACGTCGTCCGAAGCCGTGGAGTTGTGCGCCCTCAGTGATGCATGCAGGCCGGCGTAAAATGCGATAGACATTGGAGTGAATACGCCAAGTTCACTTCTCTTCAACATCAAAATCTTCACTGGGGTGTCAGGAATTGCTGCGGCTTGGGCGGCTGCGCTGTGCGGGGGTAACGGAAGCAGCAGCAGCAGCAGAAGGACGAGGAGGAGGAGGAGGCACGGCGACGCCGCAGAGGGCCGCGAGCCAAAGTGCGCACAGCAGCCACGCCGCCCCCAACACGCCGCCATACTCACCGCTGCCTTGTGAATGTCTTGCTGTGTAGCCTGTGGATTCCTACAGCGAAGAAACGGAAAGCGGGACAAGTGGGAAAGGCAGACACGGTGCACAGGAGGCGGCGGAGGGGAAAAGGAGAGAAGTGGGCGCCAGTGGGAGAGCACGACCCAACAGCAGCCGGCTCAGTAGTGCCAACAAAGTTGGCTGGGACAGCCGGGAGGCCGCTGCGCCGCATCCGTGACTACTTCGATGGGATTTGCCCCCACGGAGTTGCCCAACCGCCGCCTCCCCCCCAAAAAAAAAAAAATGTTTTGGGAAGAAGACAGTTCCGATTGGGTGTGACGAAGCCAATCGGTCGGCGACAGACTCAGAAGAACTGCGCGTCGCGACAATACACGAAAAGATAGGTTGATTGCATCAACCAACACGGACAGGCACGTGGACGCACCCACGCAAATAAAGAAGCGGTGGATACGCAGCCAAGCACAGAAGCTCTAAGACAATAATCCACCGA